ACGGTGCGTAAGAAACTCGTAAATTTACGTAAAATTTTTACGTAAATTTACGATTTTCTTACGCACCGTAAGATTTATGTAGTTTTACGCTAAATTTTACGTAAGTTTACGATTTTCTTACGCACTGTAAAAACTTACGAAAGTTTACACATATATATTTTTGCTGATGCATGAAATGTGGTTTTCAATGTCGATTAGGTTTGGAAGTCCGGGCCGGGGAAGGTTGATTAAATTTAAAGAATTTAAAGCTGCTTTTGATTTGGTAATACAATCTCTAAAATGCAATACATATATTTTAGTAATATAAACACTATATATATAAATATAAAGTAAAATAGGGTAATTTGTGGGGTAGTAAAGTTGCAAATCAAATTATATTAAGTTTACACAATTTGATTCTGGTTAACAGATTTAATGCGTATAATTGTACAAATACTCTAATACAGAGCGAATAATATTGCGGATAGTTGTTATAATAATATATATACTATTAATAGCTAATTTAATATTAATCTGTACATATCATTAATTTACTGCCAAATTATCTTACATTTATATAATTAAATTAAATTATTGTTATCTATAATTTTCACACTCTAAGTATGCCCAATTGTAATGGTTAGTCCATTCATTTAATTTTTGTAGTGTCTTATTAGTTTTCCAATATTTAGCACCAAACTGTTTTTTTTGCAAAGCATACATAAGTCACTTCGTGGTGTCATAAATTGAATTCCAGGGAGGTACCGTTTCCAAATATGTAGAAAACTTGATAAACTAATTTTATCTATGTTATCATGATCTAAGTTATTATAAATCCAGTATAATGATTGCTTACTTTCACATGCAGGTAAGTAAATTATCTCACAAGTATCATCTCGAAAACTACACCCTAAATGATATATATTTTAGAATAGTTGATTGTAAAAGAAATTATTATAATTAATTGCTAATACAGTTATATAGTAATTAATTGCAATTTTTTATAAGAAATTAATCAAATTATATCCAAGGTAAAACTTGCAAGTGTGAATTTGAAATTTCAAACTTAAACTTAAAAATTGAGACATTAATTATGCATTAAAATAGATTACGATCAGTAATCTTTTAGATATATTTGAACGTATAAATATAATATATTTATATAGTATTGTGTACCAAGATGGTATTATGTATAGTATATGATTATAAATAATTAACTGTAACTAATATACTGTAATTTCAGTTATGCAAAATATAATATATACATATAGTAACTTTATGAGTTAAACTACCTTTCTCTGTATATGCATGCAAATTCTACCTAGAGTTAATACCTCTATCTGGATTTATATATCCGGATATATACTATGTCATGTGATATAGTGTGACATAATGCTTTTATATCCAGATATAAATAAATCCGGATTTAAATTTATATCCGGATTTATACTATAATAAAACCGGATTAATCTGGATATAAAAAATATATCCGGATTGAGGTATTAACTCTAATTCTACCACTATGTATGTACGTATGTACATATATACTGTTCTATTTCAAACCGTTGTACATACGTGTTAAATATAAGAGGGTGGTTTGGCCTATAAAATACTAAAATAGAGTAACAATGGTTATTAATTACATATATACCAGGTGATGGAAGTTCATGCAAATTTATTACAAATTTAAGCACATTTAAAATAGTTGAGAATAAAATTGCATGATTACTATTACGTCCTGTTAACTCATGAGTTTTTGGTGTAAAACCAAGTCTTTGATAGTGTGAATGTAAGGCTTCTCATTTTCTTTTTTGAATGTTATAAATTATATATCAAATTTTTTGGCAAATCGTAATGCCTTCAAATTTATAACTTGTTGTTAAGTATGATTTGGGTGTTCCATTCTTGAATTCTAATGCATTTATGCTAGTATCGATTATTCCAAGAAAGCATAAACTAGATTCATTGATTTTATTTCATGATATCTTTTAAGTGCAGATTGGTAATTAATATTTAAATAACATTTTTTAACACAGTAGTTGAGTTGTTGTAGTTTTGTTAAAAAGGCATTGTCATCTCGCTTATCCAACCGCTTTTCACGAGCTTTTTCATCTTCTATTACTACATGCATTGGATAAAGAGTATATATTTTATGAAATTGTTCGATTTGATCAATGGTAAAAAAATCATCACTATATATAGTTAAAGATATTGGTGCTTCATTATGAATTTCATATTCATTAGTTTCATTATCAAAGTCTTTATCCGAATCATTTGTCAAATAATATCTTGAAGTTTAGAAATATCATCATTTAAATCTTCTAATTCATTATGAGTTTCAGCAAAAATGCTGTTAAAAAGTGTGTTTTTATTATTGTCAGCTATCAAAAAGTATTAAATGTAATTATAAAATGCTCTTATTATAGTAAAGAGATTAATATTATCTTTATAATATAAGAGTTTTTATTTAAATAAATTCCGAATCACTTTATTACTATATCGAGGGTCTAATTACTTTATTTTATTGAAGATGCCAAAGAATACATACCAAATAGCTTCTAAACTAGTAAAGATATACAGTCAGACCTTCCTAAATGCAACTCGTTAGGACAAGACTTTTGACAATATGCATTTAAGAACAATAAGAAAAATTGCATTTATGGGGTTAGAAATATATTTGGGCCAGAACTTGGGGTTGCATTTAGAGAAGTCTGACTATACAAACGGATTACATTTTAAATTTCACTAACTTATTATATACTTGAATTGACTCTTCAATATCATTTACACACAAACATATGATATAACATAAGCCG